CGAGTCCGGATTAACGACTTTTGACTGTATAGATGGAATAAAAATTTTTCAATTTCATTTGCCATCAGATGCAAATCCCTCTTCATTAGTAAAACAAATATTTATATCTATTTTTTAATAGTTTTGTTAAATAGACCAGTACACCTATATGCATTGTATTTAATCACGATGTGCCTAAATTTTTTAATGTAAATCATTATAAGCTGTGTAGTTATCATCAGTTTTTTCCAAACTGCTGTTAGTCTCTAAAACATTTCCTTATACATGTATTGAATAAAATCCTGATATAAGCAGAGACATGTGTATTGAATAAAATCCTGATATAAGCAGAGACGTAATTTAAACTTGCATACTTCATGGAACAATTGCATATTGAATATTTTCCAAAAATTGATACAGTTAGCAGATAAACAACTCGTAAACGTAGACTATGTTATCATTTAACTGCTATTAACCGAAGAACTGTTATAAAAGGTTATGTTTTGCTAAGCTCAGAAATACTTTCTGACTTCAGATTGGGCCACCGATTGTGAGAGACACAATATATATATATATATAGAGGGAGAGAGATAAATCACTTCTGCCTATAATTAGAGAAATCAATATTAAGCTATTGCAATAATATCATGCCCACCGCTTGTCTCTCTTGTGAATACAGTGCTTGTAGTACTGATCATCTTCATCTGAGCAATCTATCATTCAAGTAAACTGAGTATTTCAGTACAAAATACAACATGATTTTCATTATTTCCCATTTTATTTAATATAATACTGCTAAAATTATACAACCAATCTGTGAATTAATTATACTACAAATTTGCATGTAGTTGAGTTTTACCCTATTCTGTATTGGGAGAATGTAAAAAAATGCCTTCAAGAAACTGCTGCAAGAGATAAAATAAAGGACTAGTCTGAAGACCATTGCAGGCATATTTTGTTAAAAAGGTCTCTGAGTTGCTTGTAAAAACATGCTAAATCATTTACTTACCAGCATAAGTTAGGAAAGATGCTGCAAGATATTTATATCACCATAATGGTTTACTTTTGGTCTTGTTCTAAATTTATTTTTATGTTTTTTAATATTTGAACAATTTTTAACATTCTTGATTTTTTCAAATAACAGTTTTGCTATTGATTTACATATTAGTGCTAGTTTGATAGTTGTTTTAATAATTATCATCTTTGAAATAAAGCGATGTTATGAATTATTATAAAGATTTCTGAAATGATACAGAATTTTTTTTTTTTTTTTTTTTTTTTTTTTGAGCTGTAATATTGTTGCGAGCTACCAGTTTATTTATATATTTCTGAATGATCACTTCAGATGAACAAGAAGAAATTAACAATTTATTATAAAAACAGCTCTACACAGCCCATTAAATAATAGCTTAAGCAAAATGCAGATACTAAACAATTTCTCCTTACCACATGAGAAATATTGTTAATTGCCAAAATCACTAACAAGATAAACTGTAAATTGCATGTAGTTATTGCATGATAAACTTTAAATTGCTAATGCTATATCTCACAGCTGAATAATTATTTACTAACAGCAGAGCTGTTTGAGCCATACTTTTAGTGTAGCATGGGCTTCAGGAAGTTTCAAGAAGATTCAGTCACAAAGGCCATAATGAGCATACTTGCTCGTATGTCACATTTCGCTTGATCTAATTTTACAATTTAGAATGTTCCTGCACTGAGAAGTAAAAGCTCAGCAATTCATATAAAAAATTGCATCTGCAAATAATAAACAATTAAATAAATAACCAAATAAACCAATGCACAACATTGCAATAAAATGATTTAAGTATTTACAGATATATACAACAGTACATTAATTATAGACTTCATTTTTTATATCCGAAAAACTGTGATCTGGGATAAATATTCGTAGTAATTGATATGAGAGTGATGATATTATGGAAGTAAAAATAATAAAAATAGTCAATAATTATGTGTAATGCAATTGCCATCTTTGTTATCCAAGTGGTAAAATATGAGCAACTTGTTTCTTCTTGCAGTATTTATATTAAAGTTTCTCAGTACTTAGACTGCATGACTTAATCTTTGGGACGAATGTATGATTATTGTAAGGTTAACAATATAGCTTTTTTATATTAATGAAATGTTCGAGCTGCTTACAACTCAAATTCATCAGTATATGTTCATGCATGGAGAGTTGCTGTCTTATAATGACACTGTCGTTTACTTTGCACACATGAAATTTTGATTTTTATTCTTTCAACAGTGGTTCAAAATTTCCTATGTTCTCCGTGGTTTCATTAGCCAGAGGTAAGTCTTTATGGGCATTGAGAGGTTACACTGAATAGGATGCAGATATGGAAAACCCATATTTTAAGTTTTAATATCGTTCTCCAGGGCATTAACAATGGCACAGGGTTGACTTGCTTATGGATGTGCTGAGCAAGTCTGAATCAACCTCACTGAAGCACTTTTCAGTATGATGATAGATTTCTTGGTCATGGTCAAAGATTCATGCTTTCTTGATCTGAATCTCTTTTATGTTTGAAATATGTTCCTTCCTATGGAATGTCATTCTTGTCCTTAAGATCCCTATACATCCATGCATATTATAGCAAATATGCATGCATAAACCATATCATGTTGTAATTGAACTAGTATAATGTTGCAAGGAGGTTAAAAAATTTACAAACATCCTGTATATTTTATATACCAGTGCCCTTCAGTTGAAGGGCAAATGTGGTGACAGCAATTCCAGTTTCAATAGCTGTTGTTATTGTACTTAAAAATTTCATAGTTTGATTTCACTTCTAGATGTGGATTTGCTTATCTACTGCCTGTTCTGAACAGCTAGCCAATTTTCTTTAATGATCTTAACTGGCTGTTTTGGATGGCTGACAAGTTTACACTGAAAAAAATAGTACATTGCTTAAAGCAGATGACAACTGAAAAATAGTGCATGGAATAAAGAAATGTAGACTACCAATCTGGAACTCAAATCCAATCATGGGCTTTTTAACTGCAACAACTTTAATATATGGTGTGTAAAGTTTGAATTATTGTGGCTGCTGGCATCAGACTTGCCTTTCACTTGATCTGTCTTAAAACATTTTGAGTCTACTTATTCCATTTGTGGAGTCTTAAAGGAGTTCTTATTGTTATTTTTTATTCCTACCTCTCTCCATTGCCAAGTCTTTGAATCAGTTTTGTTAAAGTACTTATCAACATGTGACGAGAATGCAAGGAATACAGCTCATAAGAAGGGTTATACAATCCTGCACATGAAAGAACTGTACAGTGACAAAGTGTGTATCTGTTAAGGATAACTCTAAGCAGCACTGGTAACCCATATTTCAATTGTCAGCTTAGAGAGCATCCTTACCTATAAAGGTAATACTGCTAAAGGAATAGCAACTGCATGTTGTTTATAACGTCAGAACATGAGAGGGCAGGAACTCGTCTTTTCCAAGAGAACCTTGGTATGAGCTAAGTGTCCATCTACAGAATCAAACTGATTTCCTGTCACCTATTGCAACCATTGTAGAAGTGTAACCTACCATCAACAGCTGGTAAGACAGGCACTTGAAAGATATGTTGCTAGTATGGGCTGATCTAATCAGCCCAAAATTACACCATGTCACCATATAGTATGGACAGAGGTTTTGGTGCAATAAAAGTTTTTTTTTTTTTTTTTTTCTTTTTCTTTTTCTTTTTCTTGCCAAAGAAAATATCTAATTTAGAGAGCCATTTGTGATTTTGTATTACTATGGCATGCACTTAAATATGTAATAGTTTAATGTTTCAAACAAGTACAAAGTGCTGTCAAGATTAAACAGGTGACTTTTATATGTTTGGGGAACATTCAAGTTGCCAGCAACTCAGTTTTGGATAGAACAGTTACTGTAAGGAAAACAGTTGTGAGGTATATGATTGCATTCATTTGTGGATTTATAAAATAAATAAAAAAACTTCAGCTTAAGAATACTGCAGATTTTACTATTTTAAGTAAGTTAGAATATTATATTTCCTAGATATTATTATTATTTTATATAAAAATGATACATTTTACAGCAATATATATATTGATTTTGCTGCTTGGTGTCAGATTTAAGAGTATCCATTAATTTATCAAAAATATGCTTTTTAAGTGACTCTGGAGAAAGTAGTTTGCTGTCTTGTGGTGCAAGTGTTCCTCTGTTGACTTGTGAGTCTGCCTTTTCATTACCATCGATACCTACATATTAAGGGATCCATTGAAAAACGATTGTTTTGTTGCATTTCTAAAGAAAGGTTCAAGGTTTGTCATATTTCTGAGATAATCTGGGTATCTGTGTCATGATTTATAACTACAACTTGGATGGCTGCTTTGTAATCGACTAGAATAATTGCTTTAGAGGAACAATCGATCTTGAGGTTTTCCAGAGCCAGTGAGATTGCAAGATCTCTGCATCAAAATTCGACATGAAGTGTCTCCCAGGAGTATATTGGGAAAAAAGTTTACTGTATGCACCAGCCTCAGTGTTGTTGTATAAAGAATCTCAGAAACTTGGTGAGATAAGTAAACTATATTGGAATGCCAGAGCTTTCATGAACTCCTTGTAAAGACTACATCTCTTATGCTCCTTTCCTTGTTGTTTAACTTTTTACTTTTGTTCCCATGTTTATTTATTTTGATTCTTTATAAATGTTTGTTCTTTTTTATTATTTATCATTGTTGTTGTGTGATACTTGAGCTGTTTTATATGTTTGGATTGATCTTTCCAATATAGTCAATCCAATATAGCAACAACATATTTATTTATTTATAGCAATCTTTGTCAAATAATGAAATGAAAGTTTTTAGAAATATGAATTCCTAAAATTTAATAGCACAGAATATAATCACTAAACTGCTAAGTTTTATTTTAAATGTAGAATATGTAATGTATTTTTATGTTATTAAGTACAATTTTACATCACACAGTGTTATAATTTAATTTTTATTTGACATTTGATTGGTATATTTGTTTTATTTATAGCTATGCTTTTGCATTATGGTGATTTAACAGATAGCTCTTGCCTTGTGAAATTAATTAGTCAGATACGTCCAACAGAAATTTATAATTTAGGAGCTCAAAGTCATGTCAAGGTAAAATATAGCTTACACATTAAACTTTTTAATGTGTATTGGTATTACTGAAAGAATAATTTATTTAATTAATAATTCATTTTTACGTTTTTTAGTTTAATGCATTAATGACAAATGCTCAGATTATTGCACAAAAGTAGTTTCTATTATGTAGTAGGACAAAAAATAATACATTTGTTTGGGATGCAGAAGTACTCTAACCATTATGCAAAATGATTCTTCTTCTGATTATTTACTTTTTAAGATGTTTTGAATATTAAGGACAGTGATAAAAATTAATCTTTTTAATCATGTGACACAAACTGCTCAAGCTATATATACATTTAAATAGAAAACTTTATATAATAAAAAGTTCTTTTATTCTGAATTAATTGTAAATTTCAATACTTTGGAAGTTTTTAGAATTATCTATTAATTCCCCCGAGTGGTATGACTACCTTTTATTGAATCTTGTGATTTTTTGCCGCTTGGTATATATTAGATCACAATTTAAAATATTTTGCTTCCTTACTTTCACTAATAGTGTAGATACCTTAATAAAAGGAAGTTTTTGAAAACAGTGACTAAATAAGTAATTATAAAAATTTATGTTATAGAAGCTATTTAAATACCTCGTAGCTTCATATCATAAAAGCTTCATAGGAAGATCCAGTCAGGGGTTAATATAATCTAAATTTGTTTAACATATGTTTTATAAATGTATATATATATGTATGTGCACAGTTAAACCTCACTGTAACAAACTCTAACGGACCAAAAGTTTGGTTTTATATATCTGATCTGATAAATAAAAAATGGGTTGTGAGAGAGCAAAAATTGATTGAAGAATCAGAAGAAAGACTAGTTAAGCGTTGTCACATCTTCCAAAAATAATTTTAAATTAGAGTAAATAATAACTCTAATTTTAAAAAAATCACATTAAAGGTTAGTTATGATTATTATAACCTGCAGTTATGGAATTTGTCTTGTTGTCTTTTAGTGCAGAGTGCATTTATATTTTTATGTTATAAATTACTTAGCATACAAATCTTGGTTTAAATTAACGTTATGGACATGTACATCTAAAACACAGATTTATAATTAACATTTGTCCAGATAGTACTAGATTATGGCTTCTTTAAATGGTGAATCAATTCAGCAATGCTTCAATATCATTGTACTTGGCTTTTTAGCCCAAAAGGCATCAGCCCAGAAGGCCTATTAATTTCTTTTTAGTATTTTGCATCGAATCACTATAAACATTGTATCACTTTTCAAATTATTATCCCCAAATGGTATATATTGTCCCTGAATTATATTGAAAGAAATTAAATAATGAAGAATCTTTAAAGATGTATGTCTGTTGCTCATATTGTGATAAAACAACAGTACTTAGAGTCATTAAATTTTGAATAATGTAATCCTCTACCCGAATATGGGCATCTGGAAACCTTATTCTGGAATTTGTTTTATTATCTATTTCATTTTTTTGTAAAATTTTTAACGAATTTTTAATTAACAAACTCAACAATTTCAAAGTGAGCAATGGCAACGCTCCAGCACGCAAAACTGTGCATTGGAAATTCTACAGATATGCTCTTTTTAAATTATTCTGTGATATTGATATTGAATTTAATTTTATGGTTTAAGTGTGAAGAACATAATATTTAATAAATTAAGGTAACACACAAAACACACACACACACACAAAAAGGCTCCTTTGGGCATAATATAAAATCAGAAAACTTTTATTTTTTTAAATCTTTTCCTCATATCCAGATGTTTTTGCCATTAACAAAAATAATTGACTCATTTTTTTTTTTTTTTTTTTTTTTTTTTTTTCACATGATAGAAACTGTACATTTGGATAAATTACATTCCTAGCAGATCGATTTTTCTACATCCATTCTGTATTTTTCAACTAATACTGATCTTACTTTCAATACAGATGCTGTATGTCTACCACATAGCATATGGATGAATTTTTGATATAAAAAATGACCCCAGTGCTGAATTATTAGAGTTAGTTAAAACAATGTCCGAAATTTAATTTTGTTCTATATGATATTCTGTGAAAAAGTGAGGATTATGTTTTACTATTTTGTTTTTTATTTTATTGTTTTCAAATATGTGCATGAGAAAGAGAGAGTTTGTGTACATTTGATGATCTAAGAAGCTGATATACAGAACAAAATATGATTTATGGAATGATATACATTAAAGATGACAGCAATCATACTGATTTAACATTTTTTTTTTTTTTTTTTTTTTAAATTCTTGCTTAGCATATATTTACTTAAATTACACAGTACAATGGGCTCAGTCTGTGTGCCTGTGTTTAATCATGTTTATCTGTCCTATATGATATTCTGTGAAAATGTGTTTTCCCAAATAGTGCATAGCTGCAAAACAAAACTGCAATAACCCTTCTAAAGGGTGACTTAAATCTGGCAGAAGATCTAAAGAATGGAAAATGCTGCATTCAGAAGACAGAACATCAACAGCAATTTAAATACTGAAACAAAGCAAACCTATAAGGATAAAAAAAATTCACTCTCTAAAAGATTAATCCCCTCTTTAGCTTCAAGGCTCATAGTAATATATTCATTGCTCCTTACCTGAGTATAAAAAATTTCAAAATTTCCATCATTGTATCAGGTTTGCACAGAGGGCTCAGTCTAAGAACTTAAATGGAACCAGTGGTCTGGGACACTATATGTTATCCTAACATAAACTTGTTGTGTGTCCTGGTAAGAATTAGGTGCTGTGCCTGCCTTGCATTATCATAATGGTACACAAACAAGTGTAATTCACAATTATCTTTGAGTACATCCATGGTCTGTAAATTTTAAAATTTGATTTGGCATCACATTGTAGAAGAGCCCAGCTTCATTGATTTGGAAAATGACTTTTTCTTTGCACTAGAAAGAAACAACATCCATCAGTTTCTCTTTTCACTATTTGATATCTACATTTTTACAAACTTCATTGTATCTGATATTTTTTCATCTGGAGGTTTGTATAGCTATATGAAATAACTTTAAGTCCAAATGGGACAAAAACATTAATCTGTTATATCCAAGGGCTCGTTATAAACTTTGTTTGTGTATAGGGATGTTTAACTGTAACTGTTATGACAATACAGAGAAAGCACAAAACATGATTAAACAGAGGCACACAGATTGAGCCCATTGTACTGTGTAATTTAAGTAAATATATGCTAAGCAAGAATTTAAAAAAAAAAAAAAAATGTTAAATCAGTATGATTGCTGTCATCTTTAATGTATATCATTTCATAAATCATATTTTGTTCTGTATATCAGCTTCTTAGATCATCAAACGTACACAAACTCTCTCTTTCTCATGCACATATTTGAAAACAATAAAATAAAAAACAAAATAGTAAAACATAATCCTCACTTTTTTAACTTTCATGAAGCTTTTCAAAACAGAACGTTTTGGAGATTTATGCTTGGTCTTAAAAACAGAAATATACAGTAGTTCCCAAAAGTATTCGTACACTTACAAGTTTCAATGAAATATTGCTTTATTCATTAATAATTGAGAATAAGAATATTTTAATATCCATAAATTTTTCTTATTAAAAATACATTAATTATTATATGAACATTATAAAACTTTTTGGGGGGGAACAGTAATCAAAGGGTAACAGCAAAGTTACCTCACAAAGTCTTTGTACACTTTAAGAAATCTGCACGTATTAGTAAACACTGTAGTATTTCTCTTAGTTAGTATTTTATTGGATATCCTGCAGCATATGTTACAGCTTTCAAACATCTGGGCCTAGACCTCCTCAGTTTTTTTTTTTTTTTTTTTTTTTTTTTTTTCTAAATTATAAAATACTGCATGAGTGGTCCTGCATTCTTCCATCTGATTTTCGTTTTTATGTTGTGGCTTCATACTCTTAATTCTCTCCAAATGCATTCTATCAGGTTTTAATCTAGTGACTGAGGTGGTGTGTTCAGAACGTATGGGCAATTAGACAATTATAGACACACCAAAGCTGTGCATTGAGAGCCATGTGCTTAGGATCCTTATCTTGTTAAAAAAAAATAAAGTGGTTTCCAACGCCCAGGTGGATGGTTTTAAATTACCTTTTAAAATATTTAAATAAAGAGCATGGTTCATTATCCCATCAATAAGTACTAAATGACCTAATCCTGATGCTGACATGCACTCCCACAGAAGGACACCTGTGGCTTGCTCGCCAAAATGCTTTGCTGATCAAACTAAGTTCTTGGAATTAAGTTCCTCATTTTTTTTTTTTTCTTCCATGCAATTATGTGCGCATCAGACCCAAAAATTTTTAATTTGTTTTCATATGCAAATACGATATGGTCCCAATACACTTAGGGCTTATTTGCCATTAGTTTTGTGAAGGAAAGAATAAGCTTTCTACTTTTTGCACTTACAAAAAATTTTCTTCTAGCAGAGCGCCCATGTAATCCAGCTGATCTGAGTACAGGTCAAACAGTTTCAGGTAAAATTGAAGTAGAAAATTTTCAGTTAATTCTGTAGAAATCTTTACAACTCAAATGTAAATTTTTCACAGATTTTCTAACTGTAAATATCTGATCATGTTTAGTTAACTTTGTTGAATGACTTCCTCTTCCTTTATTTTTGATCCGATTTTCTTTTTTAAAGCGTTTTTTTCACATGCTGCACTGTACAATGGGATAAATTTACTAATTTAGCTATATACTGGATCATGTTTTCACCCTTATGATGAAAAATGATCAGTTTTTAAATGATATTTGTTGTTTCTTTGCAACTATGACCCATTTTTAAATTTTAAATAAAACATAACATTGTAAGCCAGCAAAGAATAAAACCAAGTGAATTTTTAAACATTATCAAAATGCAAAAATAAAAGAAAGGTGGCAGATGATAATTTTATTTATGAAATTTGACAAAAATGTTTCTGTGTACGATCACTTTTGTGCCGTGTTTTATCTATGACTCTTTACATTTTCCAATTTTAGAGAAAGAAAATAAATCAGAGTTAAAAAAAAAAAAAAAAAAGTTTAGTTTTATTCAAAATCACATGGCGGTTCGGAAGGCATGTACAACCAGAGTTCGGAAGGCATGTAATCACAGTTCGGAAGGCATGTACAACCAGAGTAGTAAATTATAAGGAAATTTCTGATGTGTGACCACTAAACCAGATGCTGCAACAAGAGAGTAATAAAATAAAAAATCCATGAATTACTCCATAAATTAAAATCCATAAGTCAGAAATAATTTGGAAAATAAATGTAAATAATATACAATGAAACTATAGCTGGGGTGTTTTTTTTTTTTTTTTAATTCAGTGACTAACTCGTAGGGTGAAGTGGGCATCAAGGGGAACAGTATTTACCATGAAATATATTATAGACCACATTTAATCTGTGAAAACAGTCAGTGAATTCAACCAATGAGGATAGTCATCTTCAGCTGGGAACTGTACATGCTGTATATGGAAGGGATGCATATTTTCAGTAGAACTGCTGCAAGCAGAGTATTAAGCCCAGCTGCAATTGCTCATATATTTGTTGATGGGGAACTGGCAGATCATTGCAGTATTTCAGATGTGCTGACATTGTTCAGTCATCCTACATCACAACTGGCTGCCATGAAGGATCCTTTCTGTCATAGGGTTTGATTGATCTTGGGAAGGTGATTCCTGAGCTACATCCACTGTGCTGAGCATGCTTTGCCTCCTGCTGAACAATAAATCAAATGTATTCACTACTTTCTGATTATCTGCATCCCCTTTTTGAAATGTTGCTCAGTTGGTGACTAATTTTTCACCAAGCTAATAAGCAAAAGGCCACCATTTTCAAAATGGTGGCACAATCAATCAGCAAAAACCTTTTCCAAGAAATATGTATGTAGTTTTCTGTTCTCCCTATGTGCACAGCACCGTGTTTTTACACAAGAAAACATCAGGGGATTTCACAAATGTAACATTCATTGTACAGAGAGTTGGTATTCCATATGCTGTTGTTCTCTCCATGGATGGAGTCATTTTGAAAGTTCTGCAGTTTTTTAAATCGAAATGCATTTTCTTGCTGATAAAAGTAAGCTTGATTTAAGCAGATGTGCAAATATGGTCTTTTCTGCTGATGTTGCTTAGTTCAAGCATATGTTGTGACATCATTTTTTGTCAATGCAGTACTAAGAAGGAAGAACCCACAAGTTCTTATCTGTCATTTTATGCTGTTTTATTTTAAAAGAGGGAAACATACTAACGAGACTGCTTCTAACATTTGTGTTGTTTCTAATGGCACAGTTCATAGGTTGTTTGAGATTTGTAAGTGCAGAAATTTCTGCCTTGAAGATGATGCCCACTTCAGACACTCATCCTCTGTGCAAACAATGAGCTTTTAAAAGAAACTGTCTCTGAAAATTCATGCTATACAGTTCAGGAGCTATCAAGCCGACTAACTATTACAAAAAGTGCAATATGATCATTTGAAGAAATTGGGTGTGTAAATTGCTACGATGCGGGGTATTCCATACTTTAATGGAGCAGAGTATGCTCACTTAAATTTCAGTACGTGATTTTTTGCTGAAAGTAAAAAAAGAAGGGGAATAAAGTGGGCCTGTCAGATAAGTGAGATATGTAACAACCCCAACCCCCCTAATTTTTTTAATTATTATTATTATTATTGTTTCATTACTGGAGATTAGAAGTGGATTATATACTGTAATGCTACAAGAAAAAGATGATGAAGTCAATCAAATGAACTTCGTTTAGTAATATCAAGAGATGGGATACATATAAAAAAAAGTAATGCTTTGTGTATGGTAGGACTACTAAGCAATTGTATATAATGAATTATTGCTTCTAAAATATGTAATAAATTCAAAAAAAGACTGTTCCCAAATACAATTTTGAAAGCAGAAATTGGAGCAAAGCACCCAGAACTGGCCAAGGTGATATCTTTCATTATGTCAACGTTCAGCCCACATTTTGATGGATATCAGAAAGAAATTATTGAGTATGACTGGGATGTTTTTTGTGACCTCCCTTATTCATCAGACCTTGCCCGCTAGTATTTTCACCTCTTAAGGTCACTTCAAAATTATCTGAGGGGCCTTCAATTCACCTCTTTGGAAACTGTCAAACTTTACCGAGATACCTTATTTAAAAATAAACCTAATGACTTTTTAAAGGGAGAATTTGCTACTGTCAGAGGGATGGAAAAGAACTCACAGAGCAAAATGCTGCTTGTAATTTAGTGAAATTTTCTTGTTTTTGTACTGGATGACCCAATACGTAGCAATCTATTTTTATTTTAAAAAAACCCTGAGAATTGCACAGTTTCAATATCCTGTATTCTGACACTTTGCTTGCAATGTTTTATATTGCATTTCCATAAAACTGAATCATTTAAAACGTGCAACTTTGTGAAAATGAATTTTTGCATTTTTTTTTTTTTTTTTACTGTAGGACAAAATCCCATATTTATTAGGAAATGTAACACTTCCTTTTTCATTAGCCAACAGACTGTGGTATTTTCCAACTTACAAGAAAAAATAATAATAATGTGCTCAATGCAAAGATCAAATACTAATTAGAAAAATGATCCTTGAATTTGGAGTGCTTTATGCATGTGCATACCTGGGTTGCCATATAAATAAATTTTGATGATATCGTAGGTTGCCACTTAATTATTTTAGGCAGCATAGAACAATTCCACATGACTTGCAGATAATCAGAAAGAACCACACATTACTTGATCATGTAGTCAGCCATTTCATTACTGCATAAAACATAGAAGTTATTATTCCGTGGGGTTGCTATTGCAATCCTATCGTCTGTTGCCTGCAAATGACACTCCTGTTCCAATACATGCTGTATTATACATTAGAAATGGTGAGTCAACATATGACCAAATTTCCAATCAGTTGATGGCTGGCTTCCCTCTCTTTTCAACATCAGACTCTGCTTTATTTTTACGGTTTTCACCAAATAAATTTTATTTATGATAGCATGGTCATGATTTGTGATGTGATAGCAATAATTTTTCCTTTTGGTGCTTACTGCCACCCCTCCAGCTTTGTAACTTAGTAGAACAGTAGAACATACTATGTATATTTCATATTTGGAATTGTAATATGCTGTTCCCTAGAGAGACGTATTTAATTTCATTCCTATTGCTTATGTTTTTCTTTTATCATTTTGCACATAATTTCTGTTGGATTAATTTTAAATTATGGCAAAATTTGTGAATATTTTTAAACATAAATATCTTTAAAATTGCTAAGTTATTAAGATATTCCTTTTTTTTTTTTTTTTTTTTTTCTTTTCTTTTAAAAATTAGGTTTCCTTTGATCTCAGTGAATATACAGCAAATGTTGATGCGTTAGGCACCTTGAGAATGCTTGATGCAATACGCACTTGTAAATTGGATAATGAAGTAAAATTTTATCAAGCATCTACTAGTGAAATGTTTGGCAAAGTTCAAGAAATTCCTCAGAAAGAAACAACACCATTTTACCCTCGATCACCATATGGTAAATATATAAATGTGGTTTTTTTTTTTTTTTTTTTTTTTTTTTTTTTTTTTTTTTTTGAAGGGGTTATTATTATGTTAAAATGCCTTTCTCTTCATTCTTAAATGTAATTTTAATTATGTCAGTAGGTGTTTTAGAAAAATCATGTTTGAAGTTTGGGGATGTTTAAAAATTAACAGAAGCGTATTTGTAGTTTTTATTGTAATTTTTGTTACTTTTAGCTTTAAAGTTTTATTTCATTCTTTCACTTTATTTTTAATTTCATAAATTTAATTGCATGTAACTGTAGAGCAAAGCAATCCACACACTAAAACACAATGAAATATAATGACACTTGACATGCAAATATCCCAAACACAGGTATGCATGTCATTAAATTTGCAGATCCCCTGAACACACAGAGCACATGTACCATGCAGCATTATTTAGTAAGCCACCAGATAAAAAATGCCTAGCGTTTACCTGGTATGTAAATTCAGACCAGCTACTATGCTAGTGCTGTTCGCTCATGCCTTGGAGACCCAACTGACAAGATGGCATACAACTGAGCAAGTTCCAGAGAGAATGTAACATTACCTTCCAGAAAGCAAGGTGATCAGATCTCCAAATCACTAGGCATGAGAATCAGATTGATGAGACAGTATAACCGGCAATGATTCCAACATGCCACCTGTCTGTGAGCGGAGGGCAGTGGTTTACAATAGAGGATGACTGCCATAACCATACCTGTAGTGAAAATTTCCACCACTTAGCTGAAACTACCCATTCCTCTATGGAGTTTAGTATCATATAGACACTAAAGAGCAGATATAGAACAGCACTACACAGTGCAGCAGAACTTCTGCTACACTTTATCTTATTTCCATGGTTATAATCACTCCTTTGAGGTCACTGTCTTTAATCTGTTAATGCAATAAAAGAAAACTCATTACAAGTCCTTAAGGGATTTAAAATGACTTTAAAAGGTGTTCTCAGGATTGGAGAGTGTGTTAGCATAAGTAATTTGCAGTCAGAGAGCATTACCTTGAAGAGGATGTGATAAATATTGTCCGAGTTAAATCGTGTGTCTTATGGAATCACATTAATGTATGTTTGATTTGTCACCTTTTGATGTTCCAGGTGTTGCTGAGAAGCATAATAATTGAATATTTTTTGTCATGTTCAGTATAATGTGGAATTCATATGTAGGGCTAGAAATATATATCAAATGCTGATCTGAATCTAGTAGTATATGGGTCTGTCTATCATTGGAATTTGAAGAGCTTCTGCAAGATTGTACCATGAACAAACAGCTCTTTAAAAAGACATTCACCTAGTCACCAAAAATTTGAACAATTTTGCTGGCAACGACATGAAGTGCCATAAATAAAAATTATTGTTCATGTTAAATTTTTCTGCTAGCTTCAAAAGATGACACAAATGAGTATATATTCATTAATAAGAAATTTGTATTAATAGTTCCTAATATGTCATCCAAGTTTGAGGAAAAAAAAATTGTATCATCTTGTATATTGATATGCTTAATTTTTAGTTAGCTATTCCATTAAAGGGACTTCTTTATCTTTTTCTTATGAGTATCGTAGATAATCAAAATTTTAAAATGCAACATAAAATGTTAGAATAATAAAAGTAGGAAATTTTAAAATGTTGTATATTTTGATAATTTTAGTATACAAGATTTCATAGTTGCTTTTTTAAAACTATTATTTATTTAAAATAGGAGAAAATTTATTTAAAGTTTAAATTGAATTTTTTTTTTTTTTACACAAGCAAAATATAGACCAAAAAAATGCCCTATATGTGAATCATGTATTTATGAAATTTATATATTAATGAAATAAAAAATATATAATGCTGTGTGATAAATATGACTATTATTAATCATAATAAAATTATAGTTCAGAAATGATAATTAACTAATAGTAATATGTATTTTACCAATAGTAATATGTAATTTCATTTGAGGTATATTGAAATTCATTTGAGGTATTGAGTATTTGAAAGAAAGAAGAAATTTCCATTTTTATTGAAATAATTTAATACAGTAATTTGTTTTTGTAAATTGTTAATATTTCTGTAGGTGTTGCAAAACTGTATGCTTACTGGATTGTTGTAAATTATAGAGAAGCATATAATATGTTTGCTGTAAATGGTATATTATTTAACCATGAAAGCCCTAGAAGAGGTATGCCATTTTCTTTTTATTTATATACAACAATTTTTCTGAATTTAGGCATTTACAATTTTTGTAAATAAATTTCTATATTTTCATAGGTGAAACTTTTGTGACGAGGAAAATTACTCGTAGCGTTGCAAAAATACACTTAAACAAATTGGACTTTTTTGAATTGGGCAATTTAGATTCAAAAAGAGATTGGGGTCATGCAAAAGATTATGTTGAAGTATGAGTTTGATTATGGTTATTCTGAATTCTTATGTTTTATAATTTTTCCATAAAATAGTATTTTACTGCATTACGATTCTGTTTTTAACATGTACTTACAATATTTATTGTACAGATTCATTAATTATTTAGACTTAAGATAGTCGTTTATTAATTTTATTGTTGTTTAAATTTAATAGTTGTATATAACCTATAATGTTTTAGTTCATGTACATAATAAAGTGCCTGAAATGAGTCATATATGTATAAATATTTCAGGCTATGTGGTTGATGTTACAACAAAAATATCCCGAAGATTTTGTTATTGCCACTGGAGAATCACATAGTGTTCGTGAATTTGTGGAAGCAGCCTTTAAACATGTGGGTAAAGAAATCATGTAAGCATTTATTTTTTGGAAGCAAAATTTAATTGTAGAAGAATATACTGGAACTCAGCGTGTTAGTTTTAATTGAAAGAATGTAAAAGAGTATCTTAATAATGTTGATAAAAGTTATAAAAATTTGTTTCTGATTTCATATAAAGAATCAGGAAATGTGTTAGCTGTAATTTCAGATTTAATTTCTTGTCAGTTTTGAAGTTAAAAGAAAGTGAAAAAGTTTTAATTATGTTCATTATCACTAATTATGTCCATCATCAAATTTCTGTCAAAATCACAAAGCATAACATCTCTACTTGAACATTTTTCTTTGTTTTATTCATAGTACTTTTTAGAAAAATAAATAAAGATTTTTATATCTAAGTATTTTGTATTTTTCTACACAGAATCACAAGTAAGAGGTTTTTAAATACAAATACTTGGAAGTTCATTTGAGATAAGCAGTTTAGTGGGTACTTAACTTATCATCCTATCTTGAAAGCCAGATTTATTCTCTCTAGCACTCTAGGTGTAACATTCTTTTAAATGTCCCCAACACCCACTTTCTTTGCATTTCTGATGAAAATTGTTTTCTAAAAATATAAAGAATTAAAGGATGCTTATGAAGTCCTACTCCTAGTTTTTAATGATTTAAGTGATAATCAACATTTTGAATCTGTAACTAAAAAGTTTGATTCCATCAGTGTTAGCATGTTTGCCAAAATAATTGCATACTTAATTGAAAATTGCAAAGAATTTGTAATATAGCGTTATTTTTTTCTTCCTTGTATACATTTTAGCATGTTTGCCAAAAAAATTGCATACTTAATTGAAAATTGCAAAGAATTTGTAATATAGTGTTATTTTTTTCTTCCTTGTATACATTGTTGGACTTTGTTTTGGATGTTGTGCAGTTGGAAATCCTCTTTACATGTTTGTGCAGTTAGAAATCCTGTTGAAGTTATATAATTATATTCAGCCTTTCCATATTTTTAAGAATAGATTCTATCTCATTAAAAATAAAATGCAGTTGATATCCTGTCCACCATTTAAAATTTGTCTACTAATTGATGGCATCAAGATTTTCTGGATTCACGGAATTCATAGTACTGTTATATGATTACATAATTATCATTGTGTTTTTGAAGTAAATATTAGTTGAAATTACCATTTTGTGAACAATTAGTACTAAATTTCTTTGGTAGAATGCTCATAATGCTCAAAAATTCATTTTTCATGAATCAGATTGGTAATAGGCTATTTTAAATAGTAAGACTTTCTTGTTGTATGTTAGTAAAGAATATGTATTATGCCTTAATACTGCATAAACTGAAGAATTATTTATAATTTTATAGAGTGTGAAGTGTTTTCAAGCATAATTTTTATCAGATTAACAAAAAAATTGCATTTCTTTCTTTCAAACTTTCTATCTAGTCATTTTAATTTGTAGTTTTGAGAAATTATTCATCATGAATACTTAAATTAATAAATTTCTTAAATGATGCGTGCTTTATAGATGGGAAGGATCTGGTCTGAATGAAGTTGGAAAAGAGAAAGAGACAGGTGCAGTACGTGTTCGTGTGAATCCACGATATTTTAGACCATCTGAAGTGGTATGAAAGTGATATTTTGAAGGTTTTACAAATTGCAGATATTTAATAGCAGTTTTTTTCCTCCTCCATAATTTGTTTTGTAACTTAAATGATCTGAGATATCCTGAATTTTTTTTTTTTTTTTTTTTTTTTTTTTTTTTTTTTTTTTGCAGGAATTTTTACTGGGTGATTCTTCTAAAGCAAGGCAAAAGATAGGATGGAAACCGAAGATCAGTTTTCAAGTGAGTTGAAGGATGTGTGACTTTTTTTATATACTAAAAGTTAGATTCTTACTTAAGCATAATCCGAGTAGTAAAAGTTAAGAAATAGTTTTATTGTAATTTTTAGAGGTAAATCAAACATTAAAATAAACAACAAGAACTTTTGTAATTTAAATTGTGTGTAAAGTAGCATTATATTATTTCTTAAGAGTTTAAGTTTTTAGCAAAACTATTTTAGGAAGTTTTTTTTTCAGTGGCTGAGATATTTAAATTATTTTTTCAGTAATAATTTTGACTGAGATTGAATTCGTTTTTCATTTATGAATGTAATTTCTCAATAAAAATTTATCTAATTATTTGCGTAAGAGCTGTTTTTTTCTCTAACATCATTTTAATTAAAGCTTATCTAATTTAATCTTATTAGCCTGTCTAATAAAAGTTAGATTTAATTGAAATAGATTAATTAAAATGAGCTAATCGGATGCCACTGATAAATTTCTTTATAGTCTAATTATATGTTTCTTAAAAGAACAGAGTAGGTCATCAAGTCATTGTTTTTTCCTTTAAAAAAATTATAAACAAATTATATTTCCTTTTTCATTTTCAGCAATTAGTTCAGGAAATGGTGGACTCTGATATAGAACTAATGAAAAAAAATCCAGCTGCATAGGAAAAGTTCATATTAGCATTCAGTTGTATTAACTTTTGTAAATCATTCCATGTGCTTTTCTGTTATGAATTTTTGAAGACATTAATGCCTTTTTGCTGGGCCAGACCTTAAGGTCTCATACGTAAAATTTTTAATTACAATATAATCATTTAAAACAATGTATAAATTAAGGAATGTAATTAATTAAGATATTGATGTAAATATATATGCATATGCATTTCTTTATGAGTAGAGCAGTTTTTGAGCAGGTAACTGGCATCTAACAAGTAATTTAGTAATAATAGTATGGAAGCAAAGTTCTGTTCTTTTATGAGAATTATGGAAACTTTTTGTTATAACATCATTCACTTAGGTATTTTATATAGAATTATTTCTATATATAATACCTTTCTATATAAAATACCATTCATTTATTTTTAATAAGGAATTTAAGGAAGTTTTTGCATTTTAGGTAGCTTATGATGATAATAAGTTAATTGTTATTAGTCTAAGAAAATAATGCATATTAATTCTGGAACATAATCTTTTTGTTTTAAATTGATTGAATTTTCTTCAGTATGATATTTGTATATAAGCTTGTTATTCCATGTAATGGAATATTAATGTAAAGTCTGAGGTAATATGCTTTTTTCCTTTACTTTTTATTCTCTTCCTACTATGCCTTTTTTTCCTTTGAAATTTGTATTTATTGGTTTATAGAAAAAAAAAACAGATGTCCTTGAGATATTTTCTAGTTCAGATTTTGAAACAGAGATTGTTTACTCCTTAAAACATGTCTGTAAACTGTTCTTGAAGACTTGAAAAATGCTACTAGTTGCTGGCCCAGATTTTCACAAGATGAACTGTAGGAAATTCAGGGAATCTGAGTTATGTGATATTGAAGCATTACACAGATCATTAAACTGTGGTTCAGGGCATGTACTTATGTTCTGTATTGCATCTTTGTTTCAAGCATTGTTTTGTATGTTTGACAGTGTTGTAAGTTTCCTGTATGAACTATGGGATAAGTTGTTCCTGACTCCTTATTGTGATGGGAACAGTTGATGCATTTAGCTGCTTCCTGGCATGATTTATCTGACTGACTACCCAAGCACTGCACATAGACAGGAGATGGTTTACAACTACTATTTGTATACCCAATGTTCTGGCAGTCATAACATTGTATGACCTTTATACATTTTCTGTACTCATAAGAGTTGAAGGCTTATATGTGACCATCATGACCAATTGCCTCAGCATAATTTGGATTCAATTCAGTTATCCTATTGTTCTTTCAGTGAAGCAAAGCCAACAGGAAATAGGACACTTGGAAAATGTTAATTCTGTTTGTGTGCAGTACTTGAGTTTTCACTCAGATAAATTATGCGTGGAAGTAACCAAATTCATCTGTTTACATTCAAAATTCATCAACCTGTTTACATTCAAATCAAGGAACTATGAATGTCACATATCATGCAACCAGCTCATTACACTGTCTTACATGCATACAAAACAGTGCTGTATGCAAAGGTGAACAGAAAATGTGAGTCATGTTCGACACTGTATATTAACAATTAGAGCAATGCTTAAGTTTCAAATAACTTGGCATCTTTGAAATTCCTACAGTGCATTCAGCAAAATTCTGAGCCTACAACTATTCGCAGCTTCCAACTCTTTAAAGAGCACTTTGTAGACATTGCACTGCTTCATGAACTTTATGTTCACTGCAATAAAATAGATGTCACTGTTAAAGAAACAACATTCCAGAAAAAGATCAACATTCTAAGCAGATATTTCAGTGTTCTAGGAATTTCAGTGCCTCCCTTTTGTGTTCCAATTCAGAGAACAACAGAGCAAAATCCTGTGTTAAACATTCAGTATGTGATGTTTTAATGTTTATGGACTGTTGACTACGTCTATAACATATTGACTATTTGTGGAATATTGACTATTCTATATGTCTAAGGAATATATGTTCTGTTGCATCTATAAATAGTGTATTGAATCTGTGAACTATGTAGTCTATATCTATGGTTTACATAACATCTATATATAAGTAATGAAGATTATATTTCTATTAAATATCAATATATAAATAATACCCATTATTTAAAGCACTAAAAATACAGCATGTCATAGGAAATGCAACAGAACTTGTGCAAATTTATAAATTTTTGTACCAACATCCAATAAAATTATAGTATCAGGATGATTTAATTCATTTAGCTTATATGAAGACTGTAGGTTGGATGTCATCTCGGTGGAGAGTAGTCAAGCACTTTAAGCAGCTTTCCTATCCTTGCCCACTTTTGATTTTAGAAAAAAATGACAAATGCTATTTATTTCTATGTTTCTCTAATGGCAATTGGAGTCTCCATTCATCAATCTGATTTAAATATTTAACTGCAATGTATACTTACCATTTCATAAGTTCTTGCAAACTTATGCTGTAATTATTATTCTGTTCAATTATTTTTGATTGGCTCTTATTAAATCATTATTGCTAAAATCCATAATGCCTAATTTTCTAAAATAATTTTCATTCTCAATCCATTCCCTCCCCCCCTTTTTTTTAAGATGGAAACTGTACAGAAAATTTCACATATTCTAATAGCATTATTGATAAATACTGGGCATCATTAATTTTTTCACAATGTTGCTAATATCAAAGTTCTAAAAAATATCTACAAATATTTGTATTTATTCATGGCAACTGCTTTCTACAGTTTATTCCTTAAGCCCGCAAGTCTTTGAAATTAGCTTAAGCTATATTTTTTAGTATTTTTGCATGAGCTTAATATAATACATGGAACAACATTTTACAGTTAATGCAAAAATTTTATATGTTTATTTGTAAAATTTCAGTTTATCATAGATATCATTATTGGGTCAATGTTATAATATCATACATTTGTATGTTTTTTTACATATAAATTTTGTCAAAAGTGCCTTAATAATTAGTGATGCAAATACATTGAAAGTATTCGATCTGAGCACTGACTCTGAATATTTAAATGGTAAGTGCATTTAAATTTTATGAACTTAAAAGTGCTCATATTATATAAGAACACAGTAAATGTTTGTCATCAACACATTTTTAGACCTTTTTCATTGTTGATTGGTTGCAGTGTGCAAGATCAGCAAATTTAATTAACTTGATAGACTCATGATTCTTGCAATATGTACTATACTTTGATTACAGCCTAAAAGACCAAGAAGTAATGTTCTATATCCTCTCTAATATTGCTCACTGATTGTGCTGCTAGAATGTCTATTTAGGCTGCCTCATAGTTTTCATGGGATTCAGCTTCAGTGGTCTGCCACTGTGACCGTGCTGTCTTAAAATTCCATACATGACACAGAAGAATTTTTAGCTCTGTCAATCACGCTAATTTGTTTTCATCTGTTTTTGAGTATAAAACTGTCATAAAGCTGAAGCAACTGATTGCCCAGTCACATAAAATTATTTTACCAGTTAAGAGTACTTTTAAGATTTGCAGATGAGCTAAGCTTCCTAGGGTCCAGCATTATCTGTCAATAAACTTTCATTGTGGATTTTTTTAATTGTCGCCTCTGCTTTAAATAAAAATAAATAAATAAATAAAAAAGAGACGATTCCATTAATGTTAATTTTCGCACAAACCTCATTTTTCTATGACCTTTTTTGTATTTTTAATGTTTTTTAAAAAATGTAATGATTGTTGAAAATACCTTGCATTTAAAATCAGAAGCAGATTTGTATCAAAGACTGTAGCAGAATGAATTGAAGACTTGGACGTGTGGTATAAACTTTAATTTCAGTTCTATTTAGCAGTTAGCATAAACTTTGTTCTCTATAGTGTTTGACAGAACTTATTTATATTACATATGTAAAATATACAAAATACTAAATACATTGTAGATAAATAATGAGTTACATTTATGTTTATCTCAGTATATAATGGTTTTATTATTAATTTCATTTCAGCATGCATTTATACTTATATTAATCCTGCATAATATGCAGGATCTTATGCATTTAATTTTGATTCTGTACATGGCTAAAACTTTGATGTCAGTAAGTACTTACTGATCTAAGAAATTGAGATGTAGTTAGTAAATTTTCGATAGCCTTTAGCAGCAGTATTTCAAATATCAAACAATCAAGTTATTAAAAAAAAAAAAAAAAGCTACAAAAATTTGCTCCTTAAAATAGCCAAATCTTTTAAAATTCAAATTGATTTTGTATTTTGATGTTATAAAGATAAGAATTACTTTCAAATTATACAGCCAGACTTTATCTAGATGTTAGTCATTTAATCAAAGAGAAAACACTTTTGATACTTCTGCGGATATGTATGTCTTTCTAATAATTTAAAGCAGAATTTCTTAACATATTCATTTATCTTATGTGTTTATCATTACATCATGTCATTGTTATTTATGCTAGTTTATATATATGTATTTAGTATATAGAATTACAAAACAGTTTTCTAAAAGCAAAATATAAATATGCCTAGTATTTTCGCTCTTTAACCTGCTGAAAATTATCATTAAAGATAAAGTAAGAAATTCAGAACTAGCGTTTCACAAAAACCAAAAATTTTGAAATTTATAATTAATAAATTTCAAATAATCCTATAAATGCAACAAAGAATTTAATAAATTTTAAAACAAAAACTTTTAAACAAGTAATACCCAACTTCAAAAAAATTTTAATTAAATTTAAAGAAGAAAAAATAACAGAAGAGGAATTTAATCAACTTCATCAGGGAAAGGAACACTGAAATCAGTTTAAATCTCTCTTATACAAAAATCCTTCTTGCTTTTTTTGTATCCAGAATTAGCCAATGAACCATTTCAGTGTCTTTTAATTATAATAGTTCACCCTAAAATTCTGACCCTTCACCAAAGCAAGGGGAAAAAACAAAGTAAATTCTAATTAAAATCGTGTAAATAAAAAGAATTCTATTTTGCTTAAAGAATTGAAACAGAAAGTGAAAAATATAAATCAAAATTTTGCCTTTGAACATAAAGCATATAATTCAAAGAAATTTAAACTTTAGAAAGATTATAAAACTTGGGTGAAAAGACTTAATTACAACTCACAATAAGTAATTAAAAACTTAAGCACTTTCGTTAGACCACAATCGAAGCTAGGAATATCACAACTTACAGGTTTGTTGTTTTGGCTTCACTGGCGAAACTGAAAACCTTGTGGAGAAAGTAATCTCTCAAAATTTTAAAATTTGGAACAAAAGATGGAACTTTCTAAATCAAAAGAAAAACTTTTAAATACTTCAATGATTTTTTTTTTAAATTTTGACAGAGAAAAAGGTTGCTTTATCAATTAAAGGAAATTAAAGTAAATTCTGATTCTTTTAAAACAAAAAATGAGAATAAAGAACATCATTCAGTGTAAAGCTTTAATTAAATTTTAAAATAAATTATTCTTTAAAAATAGTAGACTCAGAAAGATGCCTAAAAAGTGGTCAAAAAGTTTTTAATTCTGCAGATATGAGTAGAAAAATCCATAAAGCTGAATTTTAGATATTTTTATATTGTAATTTAAAATTACATAAAAAGGAAATAAAGGAACTATTGTTAGAAAAGTAAAAAGTCTTTACGTCATTGGCTTATTATGATGACTTTGAATATATATGGCCATTGTTTAGTAACAGAATAATAATTAAAAGAAAAAATAAAAATAAATTAATAAATAAAAACTCCAGATTTCTTAAAAGACTATTAATTAATTTTAAAGAAATTTCATTATCTTTTAAAATTTTAGTAAGAATTGGAATTTCTTCTTTTTGTGTTTCTATTTCTGTGAAACTTTAATTCTTCTAATTTCATTAATAAAAGTATTTGCAATAACTATTTTAGATATGTTAGTCCCATTTTATTAGTAGAAAAATTAAAGTCTTTTCTGTTATCAGAAAGTTTAATTTCTGTTAGATTATGAATACTTAGATCAAGATAAACTATTTCTGTTTGGTTTTTATTGGTCTTATTTAGTTTTAAGCAATTTGGGTAGATGATGCTGTTTTTGATGAGATTAAAATTGTTGAAAGTAATAATGCCATCAATATATCTTATCTGTAAGTTTGTTCAAATTTACTGAAATCTTTAGCAGAAAGGCTGTTTAGGAATTTGTATTCTTTAGAAACTAGAAATATGAGTGGAATATGAACTTCCCATTGGAATTCCTTGCTTTTGCAAGTAAAGAATGTTTGAATGGGTAATATAGTTATTGTATAACCAAAAAAAATGTAGAAATTCTTTCTATATTTGTAAATCCAGAATATTAAGTATTTCAGGAAACCATTTTATCATTTCTAAAAGACTTTAGTAATGTTTATTGAGTGGCAGAGAGGTGTAGGGGTTTTCAAAGTCACAGTAGTTAATATTGTAAATTTTAAGATTTCTAACTTCTTCAATGATTTTCAAGTTGCTGTTAATAATAAAGCAGACGTTTTCATCTTCTTTAAATTCTTCAAAAACTATATTACAAATAGTTTTATGTAGATTAATAAAAATATTATAAAAATTCTTCTTGAAGTTTCTGGTACTATTGGCTATAAATCTAAATTTTGCAGGATTTTTATGAAATTTTGGAAAGGCATAAAGATTGGCAAATCTGTTATTTGCATTGAAGTGAGATTAATTAAATTCTTTGTTGCATTTATAGGATTATTTGAAATTTATTAATTATGAATTTCAAAATTTTTGGTCTTTACAAAACATTAGTTCTAAATTTCTTACTTTATATATATATATATAATGTTATATGATCTTAAATTCATTTAGTGCAAGAACAAGTTACTACTACTTGTGCAATTGCTGCAAAGTTAGTTAATAATAATTTATTTCCTAAACAATATTGATTAATTGATTATATTATCTCCTAAGTTTAATTAAAGTAGAATTATTTTAAAAGAGTGAATCCATACTGGTAAGTTATATTTTGAAAGATGTTTTGAAGTAATTTGAAAGCAAAATGTTAATAATGTTTTAACGGGGACTGGAGTTAAATCATCATGAAGAACAAAATTTCAATTGTAAAAGGAAAGATTAAAAACATGTAATCATTGTCATTGATCGGAAATTAGTTACTTTTCAAGGGGAACAAACCAACTCCCGTTCAATGAACAGTAATTGATAAAAATACGTAAATACGAAGGTGTTTCGTCTTTACTCGAGTTATAAGGTAAAGCCAAACCGGCAATTCCAGTCAGGCCAAATATCTCCGTGAATAGAAGGGACTATGAACCAATGCTGATACTGAAAGAACTTATTCTTATGAAGCATTTTGATCAATTCAATTTGGAGTAAAAAGCAATTTCTGTAGAGAAATCTGAAAAAACTCGAGTAACCGTCCCCTAATTAGACACCTTCATGTTTATTCTTTTGAGTTCTATATTATTTGTAAAAATTAAACATTGGAAATTTTCATTATGAAATAGAATTCAAAGTAAAGTTGAAATAAACATAGAAGATTACAAAATAAGATAAACAATGCAAACCCTGTAAAAACAAATCAAAAATAATATAAAAATAATATAAAAAATAATATAAAAAATAAATAAGAACAGTGAATGTACATGAAGATTATAAAGGCCAGAAAAGGTATTAAGTAACTTACATTCTTACTAGTGGGAAGTTGGCAAAGTGTTCTCTTCGTGTCTGACTCATAAGTGTAGGGTGTCTGAAAATTCTTAGCGGCAGTGGGGTCTTTGAATAATATCAGTTGGTAAGACTTGGGTGAAGTAATTTATGGGTGGGACTCGGAATTCTTGAGGGATGTATTATGTGGAGTTCTTATTTGAGTGAAACTGTCTGTTAAGATTTTTTTGAAAATACTAGTGAATGGAAATTAATTAATTTCTGGCTAATTGTCGTGTTGCAATAATTAAGAATTTAAGAAAGGAAAAAAGGAATTTTCATTGTCCAAGAGCTATTAGACAGACTAAAGTCATGAAATAGGCCCATTTTTTTTAGTAAACAGCATAAGTCTGAAGACAATTAGCTTTTTACAATATGTACAACTGAGTAATTACTATATACAAATCCTTCAAACTGATAGTCATCCAACTTATACGCCTTCTCAGGTTTAGGAACAAATTATTATATATATATATATATACATATATATATATAACTTTTTTCTTACTTTTTTATATATACATATACATCTTATTTTTTACTTTTTTGTATATACAAAACTGGAGACTATCAAACTTCTCGGAGAGGTAGAACATCATACAAATTAGGAATTGCATAGGAACCCCTACCCAGAAATGTCATTGTACGCTGCCAGGGGGTGTTGTACAAGAGAGAGAACCAGTGGAAAGTGAAGATTGCCTCATTCGAACTGTAGGCACCATACGAAGAGCATGGAACACTATACAAACGGAGAGTTTGTGAACATGTGGTTCCAAAATGATGGTGCACCTGCTCATTTTGGACTGGATGTTCATAGCCATTTGAACAGATTATTACCGCATCGATGGATTGGGCATGATCGACTGGTTCTCTGGCCCCCCACGCTCACCGAATTTATCGAGCCTTGATGTCTGGCAATCAATGGTCCGTCGGTATCAGGCATGTTTGTCGTCTGATGGGGCAAATTTCGAGCATCTGTTACATTCAAGCTGTCGTACACCATCTATGTCCGATAAACCCATCTATGTAAATATCCATGTCCAATAAATGTTTTAAATTAATCACTCTCTTGTTTCTTTCCCATGTTCTACCTCTGTTACCACTTGCCCCTGACACTTCTGGGCATTGATTTCTATGCAATTCTTAATCCATATGATGTGCTGTATCTCCCCAAGAAGTTTGTAACAACATTTACGTGACACCCTGTATATGTATGATTTGGCTAGTAGAACTAATTTTTTTTAATTCTATTGGCAATTCTAATAATTATATATATATATTTTAAAAGCCTAGAGGAGCATTTACGCAGAAGGGTTATTGGTGTCGAAACAAGATTTTGAGTTGAATCACTGTGAATGGCCGAATCACTTTTCAAATTGAAGCCACCAAATGTTATCACCTTATGTTATATTTAAGGAAATTAAATAACAAAGAATCTACATGTATGTGTGTATATATGTGTCATGCATTGTGAAAAAATGATGGTACATAGAGCCATCAAATTTTGAGTAATGTGATCCTCCA